GTAAGTTAGTATATTGTCTCCGTTCGTAGTGAGTGTGTGTGTGTGTGTGTGTGTGTGTGTGTGTGTGTGTGTGTGTGGTTTTTTTGATGGAGCGATAACAATTTACGCCAGTTGAGGATCTGGCCAGTGGTTCTTGAATAATCGTAGCAATGCTGGGCTGGAAGGGACCTTGAGAGGTCAAGTCCAGCCCCCTGCGCTGAGGCAGGGCCAAATAACCTGAGACCAACCCTTGTCCAACCTGTTCTGAAAAATCTCCAGTGATGGGGATTCCATAACCTCCCTCAGAAACCTATTCCAGAGCTCAATTCCCCTGAGAGTTTAGAAAGCTTTTTCTAATATCTAACCTGTTGCCTGATTCTGAGTGGTTATTGATTATATTGACTTCAGAATTTCCAACTGATCACTGATTAGATTTGAGGTTTGAAAGGTTCTAGTTCTGGTATCAGCACAACAGAATGAAGTTCAGTGTCTCATTGGGAACCCCATGTGCACAATGACCACACTCACCTGAATGTTCCTATCCTGAAATATCCACAGCTGATTTCTGTTCCTATCCCTAGGGTTCCCTGATCTCATTTTACACCCAAAATCCCCTAAACACAATATTCTCAGTTCCTGATAGCTCAGGGTTACTGTTGGGTAACTCACTTATGCTCAGGCTCATAGTCCTCCAAGCCTTATGCTAACTACTAAAGGGAAATATCTCACAGGTGTAGATCTCTGGGTTCCTCACAACACTGCCCCATAAAATACCTTCAGGATAGTTCTATGAGATAGAGACTGGAATCTCCCTTGCTGCAGATTAAGCCCATTACTAATTGCTCTACCTTCCATGGACATGGAGAACCATTGACCCCCGTCCTCTCTAACAGCCCTTAACAGATTTGAAGACTTATCAGGTCCTTTTTCTCAAGACTAATCCTGCCTAGTTTTTTAACCTTTCATAGGTCAGGTTTTCTAAATCCCTTATCATTTTTGTTGCTCTCCTCTGGACTGTCTCTCCAGCTTGTCCACATCTTTCCTAAAGTGCGGCACCAGAACTAGATACAATACTCCAGCTGAGGCCTCACCAGTGCTTAAGAAAAGCAGGACAATTATCTTCTGTGTCTTACTTACAACACACTCTTAACACGCACCAGAATATTAGCCTTCTTTTTGCAGCTTCATCACATCGGTGGCTCGGATTCAATTTGTGATCCACTGTAACCTCCAGATCCTCTTCAGCAGTTCTACCACCTCCCCATTTTATAGTTGTGCATTTGATTTCCCCCCACCCCAGCACCTTCCTAACTGAAGTACTTTGCACGTGGCTTTATTGAATTTCACTTGTTGAATTCAGACCAGTTCTCCAAATTTTCAGTCATTTTGAATTCTAATTCTGTCCTCCGCAGTGCTTGCAACTCGTCCCTGCTTGGTGTCATCTGCAGATTTTATAATACACTCTCCACTCCCTTATCCAAGGCACTAAGGAAAATATTGAATAGTACCAGGCCCGGGACTGGCCTCTGTGGCCCCCCAGATACGCCCTCCCATTCTGACAGCAAACCATTGATAACCATTGATTACCTTCAATCATAACGTTTTTGCTCCGTTCAAGTTCTAATCTAACTGTAATTCTCTCCTTGAACAGCCCCTGATAAAGGGCTGTGTTCTAGTGGTTTGTGCTAGTCCTTGGGATACCTAGTCTTGAATCCCAGCTCTCCAGCCGACTCACTGGGTGCGTGAAGTGTTCTGAGATCTAACAACCAGAAGCACTACGTTGTTATTAGTACAAGGATCCAGGGTCAGGTCCTCAGCAGGTGTGCATTTTGCATAGCTCCACTGAAGTCAATAGAACTATGCTGACCTACACCAGCTGGGCCCTTTGTTCATCATTTGCTCTTCACCGATGTTGATTGTCTTGACTTTCCCCAGGTCGGAGACGTCACGGTGTACGCTTCTGTCCAGAGGGTGAGTCTGTCTTGCTGTGGTGATAGCAGTATCTGGGCAAGCCACAGCGAATGGCCGTATGGGGTTCTGCAAAGGTTTCATCCTATGTAGCTGGGCCTGCTAGTGTGTGTAGGGTAAACTTTCAATGGGCTTGGCAGGATTTCCCATCCACGTTAATGGGAGCTGGCAGTGTTGTTGTCACCCCCGTCAGCCTGACCTGGTGCTCTGAGCTGCGTGGTGCTGGCGGCGGTGTGGCCTGGCTCCAGCCGGGCGGCACGGCTGTAGCGCCGCCAGCCACTGGTGCTCCAGGGAGCGTGGCAAGGGGGCAGGGAGCAGGGGAGGTTGGATAGAGGGCAGGGGAGTTCAGGGTGGTGGCCAGGGGGCGGGGGTGTGGATAGGCATCAGGGCAGTTGGCAGGGTCGGGGGGAGGGAACGGGGTTGAATGGGGGCAGGGAACCCAGGGGGGCAGTCAGGAATGAGAGGAGGGGTTGGATGAGGTGGTAGGGGGCAGTCAGGGGCGGGAGTTCTGGGGGTGGTCAGGAACAGGGAGTGGGGGTGGGTGGATGGGGCAGGGATTCCAGGGGGCTGTCAGGAAGGAGGGGGTGTTGGATGGGGCGGCGGGGGGCAGTCAGGGGCAGGGGTTCCACGGGCAGTAAGGGGACAGGGAGAAGGGGTGGTAGAATGGGGCAGGGGTTCCCCGGGGATGGGGGGCATCAGGGTGTGTGTGGATGAGGCAGGAGTCCGTGGGGGGGGGGCAGATAGGAGGGCCGGGCCACGACACTCTCCCCTAACC